CACCGTCATCTCGCGCGCGAACAACGTCCTCGTTATTAAAGGCCACTGTCGGTCGGAAAATCGTTCCCGATCCGTGAACGTTTTATGAGAATCGCTAATAATACTCTCGTTCGGTCGGTATGATTCAAGAGACATTGATCCCTCATTAAGATTCCATTATTATCGAGCTCGCCTTATGGTCGATGACGAAGGTTCGATGAACCGAATACGCGATCGTTTTATTATACGTGAGCTGACATGACGCGACGCTGGAGAAAAAGAGCTACTGTACATAGAAATGGATAGGTTATTTATTATTTAAACGCGAAATTTAGCGGAGAAATAATTTATTATTCTGACTGTGCAAATCGTGTTAAGTTTGATTTTTAAGAAATCCGCGAAAGATGTAATCGTTGATTTATTGTCGATTAAGTCTCTAGTTTAAAGATACTTATTATTGAAATTAATCATATGATTGACAAATCAAAATCGACTCATTATAAATTGTTAAAGTAAATTGAGATGCAATATTTTATTCTTTTCAGTTCCAAGCAAAGTTGAACTAGGAAAATTAAAAGCTATTGATTATGATTATTTATATAAAAAATCTTTTTAAAATATCTGAATTAATAAATTTTATCTGTGTCTTCGCATAATTAAGATGGGCAGATGAGTGTTGCAAAGTGACACGAGAAACTTCATATACGCTGAGACAAATAATGATAGAATCTATTTCTTTCAAAGTGGAAATCGATAAGACCGTGTTGCGGAAGTACAAGGATTATTTATTGCCCGAGAGATAGTTCCGCCTGAAAAGCAGTGCCAGTTTTTTAGTCTTATCGACGTTAGCTACGTATTAAAACGACGGAGACAAAGAAGAATGACGGAGTGTTTATAAATTTATCGACAGTGAGGAGCGAGGAAATAGTTTGACGCGCAATTTATGAGAATGCTTAAGCGTGTACCTTATTTATCATCAAAGCGTGCGATAAAGCCGCAACGTGTGCGCTTAATGATTTTAATATTGTCAAAGTCAGTAACGCCGATGAATCGAGACCAATCATAAAATATAATGCGCAGAAACAAAAATGGTAAAATATCACTTATTGATTTCGATAACTTTGAATTTATATTTTGCGAGAGAATATGTATTTATATATTTGATTGTACAAATAAAAATATTGAAATAAATAGAGAAATATATGCTTTCATGCGTGTGTATGTATGATAGACCGTTATGTGTGATTAATTTAACGTTTGGTCGCGTGTGAATTCATTATAGATGAAAAATATTCCTTTCGAACGATAACTCGACAATACTAATAGAGCTAACAATAGATTTTCGCGGCAAACCGCTTGAGAAATTTTGCGCTCGACACTTGTTGTTCTCATTCTGTCGCCGTGATAAGTGTGTTATTCAACCGTTAACGAATATTCATTAAGTTTTACGATTCGGCACGATGCATCAGCAGCAAACGGAAAACCACGATTTGTCATTTTTAGTTTGCTTTATGGCTCGATGACGTCAATTCTCATACGAGTCACGATAAATCGTTATCATAAAGTTCGGCCCCTCCTCGCTCAGGATCGTAAAAAAACATCGCAATAAAGACGTCTATATTAAATTTGCGCGTGTATAAAAATGTGGATTCACATGTTGCGAGACATAAAACTTTTCACGCTGAGATAATATTTTATGGAAGAATAGTATCGTTAAATGCATGTAATTTTGTCACTTTCGTGTCGTCAGACAGATACATAAAAATGTCGTCAACCAATTATGTACCACGTTTGAATATTTCCGGAAAATATGAAATATTTTCTAAATAAAAATGATTCGATTTTACGTTAGGTAAAACTTTTTATAAAAAAATATGTATAAAAATTATTTCCAATATTCAATACGTCATAATAGGTCAAATTAACAAACACACCTTGTTCGAATCAGGCAGAATTGCGTGAAATTATATTGATACTTCTCATTAATTCCGTGCGTCAGGGAATGATTTCGAACGACAGGACAAACTGGCGAGCTTCGCGCTTGATAGCGAGTAGTTCTTTGCACGAGAGTCTCGAAGGATCGGAAACTGTCACGGACATGGCGAAGTGTCGAAACCGGGTCGTAAGTAAAATGAATTTAACATTTAACGTTTATATGCGGTTTGCAAACTGCGCGCCGTGGGAACGAGCTCGACAAACTCGACGTCGCGAGTTAGATGCGATGCCTCGCATATACGCCTCAATATCTGGCGTATACACAAACATGCATCTCGGTTTCTACATATTACGACGACGGGGAATAGTTGCTGTGTCGACGACAAAATTTATCACCTGCATAACGAAGAGACGTAAAATCATGAGAGACAGTTTCGCAGATTTACGATGACGCTTGTACCAAAACCAAGTTGCCTTTCGTCAAACTTTATCGGCACTTAACATTAATGTGAATTTAATAGTTCAACATACAAAAATTATAATTGTTTGTGCAAATTTGAAACTTCGAATCATCCTCATTTGGCAGGCTGCCAACTTCAAATTTGAAATTAACGGAATATTAAGAAACTTATGTAGCTAGAGAATTAAATGAGAATTTTGGAGAATTATTAAAACTTTGATAATTGATAATTTGATAATTAATGGAAACTTACGAAAGATTAAGTCATGACAAAGAGGCGTTGATGAATACTCTCTTCTTGGCGAAGCGTAATTTTCCCCGGAGCGGAAACATCCAAATGCAAATTTCGCGGTTATTATGCGGAGAATGTTATAAAAAGGACAATTAAGGATAATTAGCGTGTAATGCAAAAATATCTCGACCGGAAAAGTACGTATCGTAAATTGCGCATCTTGAAGGGAAGACAACGACAATTTATTTAGCGCTGCGAATATGATTATCTTTGATAACGCACGTTGAAATATCCACGACACAATCTACGTGAACGTCGAGATCGTTCCATTAACGGTGGCCGCCACGGGTTATCCGCAATTCAGATATAATCGACTAGAGTTAGTTTGACAAAATTTCATCCTTGGCTCTGCGTTATAAAATTAATATCTAAAAGAGTAAACTTGCGTCTAAAAATTAAACGAGATGAGTTAATTTTTTAATTATGCTATGCAAAATTAAAACGATTATGCCTCCGTTTTTAAATTCAAAATTAGAATATAATATTTATTAATTATACATATTGTAGTTTAATTTTATATAATTTTTTAGAAAATTTTGAATTCAATCATAGTGAGAAATAATAAGCACAATTTGCAGATTATCGAGAAATTAGCGTGACAAAGTAATTACGATCGAGCGAGGTAGCCTTTCTAACATTAGAAACAATCACCATCGTTGGTTCGGCGCATGGAAATAGCGTTACGGTAATATTGCGTCGAGATCGTTCCATTAATGGCGATCACCTCAAGTTACCCGCAATTTGGAAATAATTAAACAGGGCAAGATCGAATCCGGCGATTCGAGGCGTACGCATTATTTCCGCGCGCTAATTGACTCTCGAGATAGGGTGTTTACGGAATTCACGATAAATGCATAAGTTTTCGAGTTAAATTCGTGTTAGAAGAAATTACGCTCGAAATTAATTTCCGCTGCTGCAAAGCGATGCGAACGAAGTAGAAATCGGCAAAGTCGATCGCTCGTAAAGCGACGTTTTTCCTGTCTCGACTATTGCGGAAATTTTGGCGTCTCAAACTTTTCAATGCGCATAAAATAAAGATTGCGTAAAGATATTGTCGCAGGTTGGAATTACGTCCGTGTTCTTTTCCGGAGTGCTGGACATCCCTGATACACGTTCCTATCTTACTTCATTTCTTTTTTGTCGCGGATCTAGCTCACACATACGTCGGTGCGTGTGATACGTGTGTCGTACGTGGTGTAACATGTAATGCTATATATCATATATATATGCCTATGTTATGTATATAGATCCGAGCTGAAGCTACGAAGCGTGAGAACGGCTATCTATGGAGCATCGCTATTGTGTGTTGCACTTGTGAGTCTTGTGTCGGACAGAAGAAGCCGCGTGGTGTGCCCGTCAAGGGCGCGGGATGAGGTTTATCTGGTCAGTTGGGACCAGGGGTCGGGAAAGGAGAGGCGGGTCGAGTCTCTCATGGTAGCGAGGGTCCTGATGGCGAACGGACACCGAAAGTGGTTTGCTCCATTAGCGATTAGAGTGCCGGAGAATCCCGCGATTCTCCGCTCGCTTGCCGAGGGGCAACGAGGCGCAGATGGGATAATGTACTCGGCAGTTTTCTCCACTGAAAATTTTCGCGAACTCGTTAAGCGAGAACGAGAACGCATCCCAGTAATTGGTAATTGGACGGTAATTAAGCGACGTGAGCCGCGATTGAGATACGTTTTTATCGCTGCGGTTTCGGCGACAAATTAATAGTGTTTTTCGTAATTATTTAATAATTTTAAAATATGCATCGCGGAAAATGCATAAATATTTATAAAAATTAACGCAAACTTTAATTGGAGCAGCGTTACGAATCTAATAATTTCGCATAAGAAAAGCGTAGCATTAATAATTTTATATTAAATTATATATAAAATTTATGTATTCGCTAGTTTTTAAATATTTAATTTACATTTAAAAAATTGACATAATTATAAAAATAATGTTTTCAGTTCCAATAAAGTAAATATCAAACGCAAAATTTGATTTGTACAATTTGCTATTCAAAAAATATCCATCGATGAGTAACCGAGAATTTTTGTAGATTTTTATCCAATATCATTACTTATCAATAAAATATTTTATTAAATTTTTCGTCGAAAATCATGCAAAAACGCGATCTCCCCCTCTGTCGCACCGCATAGTCACCTTCGGTCGCATTTGGTACAACCACATTTCGCGGTCCCTAGCCCTCTTTTATCCCTCGCTTCCGGTTCGCTCGAGTAAAAGCGCGTATAGCTCATTCGGAAGAATTGAAGGGATCGATAATATAATCTTGGTGCTCTCGGTGTGTACTGAGAGTGTGTCGGTGTGTAAGTGGAGATAGTAGTGTACCTGGTTGCCGTCGTAGGTCCAGGATCCGAACTTCATGTCACAGTGTTGGTCGTCAAAGGGGAACCAAGTGATGTCTATCTTGCATGTGCTCTTGAAGATGCCCGGAGGGACGTACAGGCAACTGCCGTTATGCGTGACCACCACGTTTGTTTGGTACGTCCCGTCGAAACCCTCATCCGCACTAACGTTTTATACCATACTTCCATTAATTACCCTCGTCAGTCGTCGACCGTTTCGCGGCCGGTTTAATCGCGCGTCTCTTTAATCATCGCGTGAAGGAGCGGGGCGTCGTCGGTTCTTGTTAAATGCCGCCGGCAAGACCTCGCACGAAGGATATTGAGAGGCGAAGAACACGAATGTCGCGTTTATGTCGAAGAGACGAATGGGATACTTGAGGTACAAGGAAGGAGTTCTCCATTCTAATTACATTTACTTGCGGCGTTGCATTATCCGTGAGAAGAAAACATTATTTTACATAAAAAATCGGACTCTGATCAGAATCGCCGATGTCTCATTTTACGGATATATTTTTCGGTGCACTTTAGCTTGACGCGCTGTCGTCATTTATCAAAATTATAATGTTCGACTGCATCATTCGAGCAATAAAATGGGAATCACGAAGGATGATAAAGCGGGATATTCACGAATGTTATTCATGAAAATGCAAATCGCTTAGGACTGCTTTTACGAGAGTCTCTTTAAGCGTGACCCAGGGTTGGGAGGAACGGAAAAGGTACAGAGGGAAGAAGGATACCGCGAGCGTTGCCTACACCCGCTCGTGTTAATCCCTCAAGAATAATTTGAAACGGCCACTTAAACAGCGTTAAAGGATAAAGCTTGATATATTCGTAGTCGGTTCTGGAAATCTGCGCGAATTTTAATAACATATTCATCTAACAAAGCGGCTTATTAGTTTAAATTTTCGAACGCCACACGATAACAAAAAGACACGTTAATAAAAAGTCTTGTGTTGTCTTTTATTCTGTCACACAAATAAACACAGTCGTCGAATATTAGAACTTAAAGATAAGACAACCCGATGAAATTAATGTTACAAATATGTTCGCAAAAATCAAGTGTAGATGGTACCGATATTAATGTTCTCGTTGCGGAGAATGTTGTTGACGGAAGAGTCAACGGATGATGGCATCGACGTCATTATCGAAGGTTTTGAGGATGTCGTTCTCTCCAATCGAAAATCGATACTGCCGTATCATTAAAGTTCTCGTGCTTCTCGCTACTTTCACACGTTATCACGGAAAATGCAGGAAGGATAAAGCAGGACGATAAATGATGGAGAGGAAAAAAGGGACGCTTCGCCGAGGTCTCGGAAAATGGAGTTAATTAATTCGTGCGGCGAATTGAATTTTCAGTTTGTCAATATATAATCGTTATACCATGTTATTTCCTATCGTACGTGATCTTGCCATGCTCGTCTATTCATTTCGCGAACGAGATATCAAATGCGGTTTTGTCGCTTTTGTGTGTTCTGTCATCTGGCCTAGATCCCAATCATCCGGGAGCGACGTTTTTCTTTCAACGTCGATTAACGCGCGTCGTTTAATCGAATCCTTGCGCGCGAGGAAACGGGACGCGTCGGTGAAAACAGGCTTTGTGAAACCGATCGGTTCGAAAAAATTGGTCGAACGTTCCCGCTAATGCGCGTTTATTCCGTCGGCACATCGGGGGGATAGCGGCATTGTCGTCGTTGTTGTGTGGCTAATGAAGACTAACGAGAAACGGGGCTTCATCCCAAAAAGTATGTCCGATTAATTAATCTCGACGGAACGAAACCGTGTTGGCGGAGTACCAGGCATTGGATTTTGTTGATCGTGTGTTTTCCTCTTTTATGGATAACTTCGTTATCCGTTGCCAATGTCATTTGTTCCCGGCCGTATGAGAAAATGTACGCGCGATATATCGGACATATAATATGTGCGTTTTCATGCCGATGTTTCGTTATTGCGAGAAAGAATGTTAATTAGCTACGAAGCGAGAAAATATCGTGCCACCGACTACAATTTATAACATGAAATCATGAGAAACCGTTCATATATTGGCGACCCAGCCAATAGACTCTGCGATAACGACGCATGGAATTTAATGACCGAATCGTAAGGGGCTAATTAACGATCCCAAGGGACGCATTAGTATATAGGTTAATGGCGATATTCGATCGGCGGATTATCGCGAGATTGAGAGATGGCGGGTCACTGTTGACGGGAATGTTAATTACGTATAGATATTGAATTATGAGGACGCTATCTTGAATCAAACTCAACGACGCGATTCTACGTATATAATTTTCTTTTTAATAATTTTTAATAAATTTCTTTGTAATTAAAAACGAAAATATTGCCTTTATTTATTCCCGTAAACTTTCGCCGATGTGCGAGGCACGTGCGCTATTTTCTGAATAGCAATTTAATGAAGTACGGCAAGTAATATATGTCATCTCTCGCTTCCACTTTGTCCACTGACAAGTAATACATTGTATCAAGAAAGTTGCGCGACACTCTTGATGTAACTTAACGTAATCCCATGTAATGGAAGTTACAATTTAGCCTGACACTGTATTGCACTCGATACTGCGTTGTTATAAACTTTCCCGCAAACTTCCAAGTTTTCGTTAATATCTTTCGATCCTATCACAACAGTGGCCGCGAAAGTTTCCGCTCGAAGAGAAACAAAGTACCTGAATGCCTAACGACTGCTCGACGCTAAGTACTTGTCTAGGACGGCTCATAGGGTAGTTAAGGATGTAAGAAATTTATGCGCGCGCCGCAAACTGTTGTTACGCGAAATCATTTTGGCATTTTTGGCACATGTTGTCAGCAACAAGATTGTGAAACAGAGCGGAAAAATATAGAACATGAATTTTAAAAATACCACGGCATTTTATATCTAATATCGCAAAGTTGCACGTAATAACATCATCATCAATAGATAATTGGCAAATTAATTGATTTTGGCTTGAATTTACGTATAATCTAATGCTTTTAATTAGCGAGAAAGCAAGTAGATCCGTGAATAAAAAAAAAAAAGATCGTATACATCAGCATTATATACATTTCCACGATCTCGAGTTTGGCGCTGTCTAAAAATTCGATTAAAAAAAGAGGAAAGCCACACGAGAAAGAGAAACAAAACAAAGGGTTAGCTTGGTATTTTTACCATGGACGTAACTTGAGAAAGGGGGGTTTATGCACTTTAGCCGACTCTCTAAGCAAGCACCTCTGTTAAGCGGCAAACGGCGAGTGTTTGTTGGAAAAATCTGATCTTGAAAACCTCAATTTCCGAATGGGAAGAATGTGTGTGAATTGAATTTTCGAACTAATAATAGTGGAGACACACTCCGCAGGATATCCGAGAACCATCAATTGTTACTTTAAGCTCCCTATTAAAGGACAATTTAACGAAAAATTATGAATGTTTAATGAGAATTTAAATTTACAATTTTGATATATTAAAGTTTGAGAAAAAATAAATAATAAAACCTTTTTTTAAAGCTTTCATTGAATTTTATCTTAAAAACTTTATCTTTAGAAATTCAATTTTATTTTTTCATATTACAGATCTTATAAATATTCAAGATCGGATTTTTTCAATTTTGCTAAAGTTTGTAATTTTTTGTATAAAGAGATTAATTCAATTAATAAACTATTACATTTACAAATTAATTAAAACCTTATCTCTTTATGTAATTCGAAAAGAAAAAAAACAAGTATTAAAAAATTAATTATAAAAATGTTATGTTAATAAAGACTGTCGATATACAAAGTCTCGAAATAAAAAAAAAACATCAATTTCAATTTTATCACAACACTATAAATAAAAAGATCATTTTTTTTTTAGGAACACGTATATATAGTTTATAAAATTACATATTCGCTGACGCATTTGCATCGTACATATTCATTAGTGATGGAAACGATTATGCCATCATCTGCAAGTTTCTTACACGATAATCAAAGCGAAAAAAAAAGTTAAATAAAATAACAATTTAAAATGATACCGAAACAGCATGGCAGAAGGAAATTCGGTTGCGTAAGTCTCGACGATGAAACACATAGTCGAATAGGATTAAAGGACTATGTTTATCGAGTCGTTCTCGCTCTGTCTCTTGCTTTGAGAGTTCCAGCCTCCTGTTATGCCAGGACGTGCATCAAAGTCCACGCGCCGTCGCGTTCGCAAATTCTGAGGGGCGTTTTCGTCGATTGTTCCACGTCGAACAAAGGCGGATCCCACTGCGATGCCTATTGTCGAGTTTTCGGATAAATTCTGTTTGCCGAGGATCGCTGACCTGCTGTCTCGCTTCTGTGTGTTTTGTTTCGTTTCTCTCCCGCAAACGTGAGTTCCCGCGTATGCTTTCCGCAACACATCGCTCTTGTAGATCGCGATATTCATGAGAAGAGTGCGCTGCCCGATGTGAGCAAGTAAGTCGTGCGCTCCAGATGCTAGGCGGCCAACCCCCTTTTGTTCCATGAGTAACGACCATTTACTCCCCATTATACGCGCTGTATGTAGCTTTTAAATAATATCTGGTTGGTACTTAAGGTCGATTTAACAAGCGCGTTAATCTATAGTGAACGAGATCGGTCGCGTTGCCGAAAAAAAGGGAGGATTATTACTAGAGACAATTAAAAATTTTCCGCGCGAATTGCTTCGACATGTAACCGATTATCTTAATCACCTTGTGATGCGCTCCAAAGTCGATGAATAAACTCTAGTAACTGTTCCTAAGCTTGCTTTTAAAAAACGACAATATCGAGATGCATAGTGACTTCTTAATTCATGTATTCCCAAAATCATTTCTGATTAAATAGCGGAAGCAAGATTATATAGTTTAAATGCCGTACAAAAAGAGTGATAAAAAGATTTCAATATTTATAGAAATAAACAAAATATAATATTTGTAACATTGAAATATATGTATCCAAACAATTTTATTGCAAATTGATTAATTTTTTACCTATTCTTCATCATTCCGACAATCAACTAAATTTGTATCAGATTCTACAAATTTTTCCTATATAATTGAACAAGATAATAGAATTTATATATTTTATAAATATTTGTATATAATATAATTATTATTAGACATGTATATAATTTAATTATTTTCTGAAATTGCAAAAATAAAATTTTTTAGTTTACATAAAAGTACATATTCTAAGAAAT